AGAAGTAACATAGGCTATATAATATCACGCTAGGTCCTATAGTTGTGGAGCAGTAACCAAAAATGTTTTAAAAACGGGGGAAAAGTATCGTTTCTGAGGCCTTCCGTGGCGTGCGCTGAGCATATAGTTAAAGTTATACAAAAATGCTCTATAGATGAATTGTTCATCTTAACCTTATTTTTAAAAAAGTCCGCGAGAGGATATGTCTACCTTTTATAGTTTACCCATAACAATCGTTTTAACGAATGGTTCAATCCTTATAAAAGTTTGCTCCAGATAACTTTTGAATTGTTCAATCGGTTACCTTAAGACGCGATATCGACAACGGAGGGCAGGTCGCTAAAAAAAAACTGAGAATAAATAAAACGTAAAACTATGTAAAAAATCTTAAGTCCCCCGTGCGAAGCCGGGACGGGCCGCTAGTTACTAATATTTTGCTTAAAAAGCCCCATTCAACGGTATACCACAAGTTACTATTGGGGTGGGTGGGCCAAGATGTTACCAATTAAAACAAAAAGCATTCGAAAATAATAAATTATTTGCCTCATGAAACTCCCATACAAGCCTGCCATTCGCCTTTGTGATGTTATTTTATAATTTTATATACATACAATATAAGGTAGCCCTTTCTGGGTCAACTGATTAAACAATATTTCGATACAATAGTAATGCTCCAGATTATAGGAACCCTGTATAATGTAGTATTTCATACAATAATACTTGCAAAAAAAATTAACATTGTTATAGTTCACATGATTCAGAATGAAATGTAAGATAACTTAGTAATTATTGGGTAGTTATTAGATATTGTCTAATTTTGACTTGACTTACCTACAAGACAATTCGCCATTTGTTTTCTCCGTGATATGGATTTCATCAATTGACTTATCGATAACGGGTTTTTCTGAAATAAATATTTTATTAGACTAAGCACTACATTATGTACGCGCAGTTTGGTTTCCGACGAGGACTTTCCACAGAAAGTGCCATACTGTCTCTCAAGCATACTGTTCAGTATACGTCAAGGAAAACGCCTGTTAATGCGTGTTTCCCGGACCTCTCTAAAGCTTTTGATGTGGTGTCGTATGTCTTACTGTGTAAAAATTGTTAAATGATACAACGGTGAATAGGGGAGTTATATTAATGCTAAGGTATTGGTATAGAAATCAAATCAACTGTGTTATGTGGGCCAGCTCGTTATCGGACGAGTATGGGCTGGAGTGTGGAATGAGACAGGGTGGCTTGACCTCACCTCGCCTCTTCAGTCTGTACATAAACCGATTGATCGCCGAGTTGCAGCACCTATCAAGGTTGTTATGTAGATGGAACATATGTGTCAACAATATTAGTTATGCAGACGATATGGTGCTGCTGAGCCCATCGATCAGCTCAATGATGAGCATCCTACCTCTAATATTTGTGAGAAGTATGCCTATGGGCTCAGAGACAACGGAAGGAAAAGTGAAGTATTGGTATTAAAGGCGGGCACTAAAACATACCCGATTGCAAGACAGCTGAAACTTTGCAGAAGACCTCTAAATTAAGTCACATCTTTCAAGTATGTGGGCCATTGGGTTTCCGAAGATCTAAGAGACGTCTTAGACATAGAGCGTGAACGCAGGGCGTTGGATGTCCGCTGCGATATGTTGGCCCGCAGGTTTGCGAAATGCTCGACTGACGTTAAGATAACTTTGTTTAAAGCGTACTGTCAGTCGTTCTATACGTGCAGTCTGTGGGTTGACTACACGCGGAGGGCATACAACACTCTGAGAGTTTAATACAATAACGCATTCAGAGTGCTGGTGGGGTTGCCGCGGTACTGCAGTGCCTCTGGCATGTTCGCAGAGGCAGGCGTTGATGGTTTTCATGCCATCATACGAAAACGTTGTACCTCAATTATGCATAGGGTGCGTGTCAGCCCCAATAGCATCCTGAAGACTATGCAGACAAATGGAACAGTCCCATAGTGGGGCATTGGATACGCCTGCATGCTATTGTGGCGTAAGATAGTCATGTTTAATTATAATTGGTAATTTTAAGTACTAACACTAGTTTGATAAGTTGTTTGTTAACTAACCAAATGGATTTAAGTAGTCCGAAATAAATAAATAAATTAAATTAAAATTAAAAGTTATCAAACCTTCGTCATGTCAAGCGTGTCGCCTTTGTACTCACGGAATGGTAGACGTTTACGTACAACAGAATAGTTAAATAAACACCGTGAAATTCATTTCGTCTTCGAATCCTCAGCCAAATAAATGCACGATCAGTAGGAACGCAATACAAAACACACACCACACTTAAACAAACCATCCGAACCACACTCGACACGTGATTCGCTCTTCCGCTGAGGATCTTCAGGAGTTGTTGTTTCGAGGCGCAGATGTCACAGAGTTTTGATAACATTTGACGCTATTTTGTACAGGATTAACGTAACTTTTCACCTTTGAAATATATTTGTATATTTTAGTTAAACTTACGATATATTTCTAGAAAAATGTCTCTTTTATCTTTCCCAATCTGATTGTCTGCATGGCAACTATAATGTCCAGTGTCAGCTACAGTGGTCTTGATTCTGGAAATACATGCACTTAATACGTATTGGTGGTATTTTTTCTTTACCATCAGTGTTAACACAGAGTTTTATTAATGAGTTACTTTGTAATGAGCCAACCAAAAGAATGAAAAATATATAGTATGCAAGTTAAGTTAAAAAAATGAAATTTATGTAGGTATATTTAATTTTATGATGTTCGTAAGTACTTTTTTAATCTAATTGAACAGGATTTTTGATTTGGTGTAAAAATATATGTTCAAACACTTACATTAAACTGTAATCGTCAGTAATTTGAGTTCTCATAGTACTTGTTACATTGATACTATTGAATGTCCAGTATACTGTTGGCGCGGGCACTCCATTCACGTCACATGTCAACTTCGCTTCATCGCCATCTACAATCTTCATTTCCTTTACATCCCTTTTTATATGTGGTGGATCTGAGGAAAGACATAGTAATAAGTGTATTTATGGTATTTATAATAATGTACAGTTAGCTATTTCCTAACGTCGACTTCTTTCTTCTCACGTCTGGTGGAAAAAATCGTTGGTCGCGTAGACGCCCATTAAAACATTGATTAGGACTAGATAAATATTAAGTTAGAGTGAAATCCAAATGTTACCGTTTACTGTTATACATAATATGGGGGCAAGCCGATAGAAGAAAGAGTGTGAAATTAATAATGTGTTCATACTTACATTCCACTATCACTTCTGTTTCGTGATTGTCTGTTCCCAAGACGTTTGTCGCTGTACATATGTACAGACCACTTTGGTCTCTTTGAGTATTTTTCAACTTTATGGTCTCTCCAGTTTCCTTCAAATTCTTTGTTTTACCCGGACCTCGGAATGACCAGGTTACAGTCGGTTTCGGGATCCCCTCAAGAATTCTAAAAACAAAGTCTTATTATACATTGGTCATGAAGTTGGCAAATATAAGTAGTTGATGAATTCAAAAACTATTTAGTAAACGGATCTTAGTAGTGCCGCCGGACAGGCTGCTCTAGGGAAGCATATAGATTTCATTAATAAATTTTCAAAGGCGAACGGCAGAATTCCTACAACATTTTTTTTTTGTTGTTCCCTGATACTATTTGTACCGCTTATTAAGCCAACTAAACCATTCATTTTTATGTAACATTATTATTTTCAGATGTTCGAATTCATCAAAACAATCAATCAATTCAACAAACCTATTACGTTTCTAAAAATCTGAGGATCTCTAGAAAATTAATGTTCGTAGCTTACTTTATTACAAGATAAATGGTCTAAAAATCTTTTTTTTTACCATTCTACTCCTTCACCTTCCGAAATATGAACTGTCAACTGATTAAACAATATTTCGATACAATAGTAATGCTCCAGATTATAGAAACCCAAAAAGTATAATGAAGTATTTCGCACACTAATACATGCAAAAAAAATTAAACACTGTTATAGTTTACATAATTTAAAATGAAATGTAAGATAACTTAGTCATAATTGTGTTTTCATTAGGTATTGTCTAATTTTCTATGACTTTACTTACCTACAAGACAACTCGCCATTTGTTTTCTCCGTGACACGGATTTCATCAATTGACTTATCGATGACGGGTTTTTCTGAAATAAATATTTTTTAGACTACGCACTACATCATCAAACTTTCGTCATGTCATGTGTGTCGCGTTAGTACTTAGAGAATGGTAGACGTTTACGTACAACATAATAGTTAATTTCTTTTATGGAATAGGAGGCAAACGAGCAGACGGATCACCTGATGGTAAACAATCAGCGCCGCCCATGGACACCCGCAACACCAGAGAAGTCACAGATCCGTTACCGGTCTTTTAAAAAGGAATACGGTCTTTTCTTGAAGGTTTAAATTTCGTATCGGTTCGGAAATACCGACGACGACAGATCATTCCACAGTTTTGCTGTTCGAGGCAGAAAGGATCGTGAGAAGCGCACAGTTGTGGCCTGCCAACTATCTATATGGTGGGGATGTATATTCTGTCGTGAGGGTCGATGGCGAAAAGATGCGCCAGGTATCAGGTCAAACAATTCCTCAGAGCACTTCCCGTGGTATTAGCGATAGAAAATGCATAACGAGGCTACATCTCTACGCATTGCCAAAGGTTCTAACCGGTTCGAAACATCCCGACATCCAACAATTCGAACGGCACGACGCTGAACGCGATCCAGAGGAAGAAGCTGGTACTGGGGTGCCCCCGCCCAAAGATGAGAACAGTATTCTATGTGGGGCCGCACCTTATATAGAAGCAGGCGGTGGGGCTGGGTGAAATACTGCCTCGATTTGTTGAGCACCCAAGCTTCCTCAAGGCTAATTTGGCCTTATCCTCTAGATGATCGCGAAACTGGACGTCGTCCGAAATGCTGACACCAAGTATTCCAATACGGGCTAAGGCAGTTAGGGGGGTGCTTTGAAACTGAGAAGATACGACCAACGGCAGTTTTTTAGCAGTAATAACTTAGATCTGTGTCTTAGTGGGGTTAAACTGGACCAAATTAAGTCCACCCCAATCAGAGATTCTCCCTAAAGAGGTCTCGATTTCAGACACGAATCTATTTCGGCTCACCATGACGTTTTCCCGAGAAATGTTAACGCGGCCAGTGTAGTAGGCATCGCCTGTGCTGTCATCCGCATAACAATGAATGCCGCTGATATGCAACATGTCATTGATATGCATAAGGAACAATGTAGGCGACAACACGCAGCCTTGAGGGACGCCTGCGTTTACAGACAGCAAGTCAGAGCATTCACCGTCGACAACAACCTTAATGCTTCTGTCTGCAAGGATGCAAGAGACCCATTCGCATAATTTCTCGGGAAGCCCGTTGGAAGGAAGAATATGCATCGTGAAATGTATTTCGTCTTCGAATCCTCAGCCAAATAAATGCACGATCAGCAGGAACGCAATACAAAACACACACCAAACTTAAACAAACCATCCGAACCACACTCGACACGTGATTCGCTCCTCGGCGGAGGATCTTCAGGAGATGCTGTGTTGAAGCGCAGGTGTCACAGAGTTTTGATAACATTTGACGCAATTTTGTACTGGGATTAACGTAACTTTTCACCTTTGAAATATATTTGTATATTTTAGTTAAACTTACGATATATTTCTAGAAGAATGTCTCTTTTATCTTTCCCAATCTTATTGTCTGCATGGCAAGTATAATGTCCAGTGTCAGCTACAGTGGTCTTGATTCTGGAAATACATGCACTTTTTCTTAATAATACGTATAGGTGGTATTTTTTCTTTACCATCAGATGTTAACACAGAGTTTTATTAATGAGTTACTTTGTAATAAGCCAACCAAAAGAATGAAAAATATAAAGTACGCAGGTTAAGTTAAAAAAAATGAAATTTATGGAGGTATATTTAATTTAATTTTATGATGTTCGTTTGTACTTTTTGAATCTAATTGAACAGGATTTTTGATTTGGTGTAAAAATATATGTTCAAACACTTACATTAAACTGTAATCGGCAGTAATTTGAGTTCTCATAGTACTTGTTACATTGATACTATTGAATGTCCAGTATACTGTTGGCGCGGGCACTCCATTCACGTCACATGTCAACTTCGCTTCATCGCCATCTACAATCTTCATTTCCTTTACATCCCTTTTTATATGTGGTGGATCTGAGAAAAGACATAGAAATAAGTATATTTATGGTATTTATAATAATGTATACCAGGAGGCGAATAGCTATTTCCAAACTTTAACTTTTTCCTTCTCACGTCAGGTGGATATAAATTATGTGGATATAAATGATGTAAATACACATATGTAAAAATGCCTTGTTGGTCGTGTAGTTGTCCATTAAAACATTGATATGGACTAAATAAATGTTTCTGTAGAGCGATATCCAAATGTTACCGGTTACTGTTATACATAATATTATGGGGGCAAGTTTTGAACAGATGGTAATGAAAGTGGAAGATGAAAAAGTGTGATATTAACATTGTGTCCATACTTACATTCCACTATAACTTCTGTTTCATGATTATCTGTTCCCAAGACGTTTGTCGCTGTACATATGTACAGACCACTTTGGTCTCTTTGAGCATTTTTCAACTGTAGGGTCTCTCCGGTTTCTTTCAAATTCTTTGTTTTACCCGGACCTCGGAAGGACCAAGTTACAGTCGGTTTCGGGATCCCCTTAAGAATTCTAAAAATATAGTTTATATAAGTTGGCATATAATAATTATTATACTTGTGATTGCGAGAGATATTTAGTAGTATTTCTGGCGTCACTACGCCAGAAAGGCTACTCTAAGAAAACATAAAATTGATTCCATTAGACAAATTCTCAAAGAGACATTTTCTCCTATTTTTGTTACAAATGAGCGATGGCAAAAGAGCACAGCGAAACAACGCTTGCGTTGTGTGAGTGAGTTTACCGGAGGTCCAATTACCCCCTTCCCCAGTTTCCCAATCCCCAAATCCCCCACAATCCTCAAATTTCCAATTCACTAAAGGCCGGTAACGTACATCACTGTCTGGTAACGCCTCTGGTGTTTCAAGTATCCATGGGCGGTGCCGATTGCTTACCATCAAGGTGATCCAAATGCTCATTTACCGGCTTATCCCATAAAAAATACAGCTATCAAAATACATGCATTTACACAGGTAATTAAAAACTGTAAACTTGTAAATTGTAAAATAAATTAAAAATTGAATTATCTTCATTGTGATGCTGCTTCCATCAAGTTACGTACATACATATGAACTTACCTACAAGTCAATTCGCCATTTGTTTTCTCTGTGACACGGATTTCGTCGAATGACTTATCGATGTTTGGTTTTTCTGAAATAAACATTTTATTAAGCTATGTACACAGCTATGTGACAATTTATTGTCAATGTAGATAATTATTCCTTCTTGAATTGATGTTTTTATTACGTAAGTACACAAAAGTTATTGACCTGTAAGCCCGTAGGTTTAATGGTTACAACGATGAATGAGCCGTATTTTTTGGTATTTCAAAAAATACCCCAAAATCAGTTAACGTTAGATTCGAAGCCTATTCAGTGCAAAGTTGCAAACAAACAATGAAATCTTTTCCCTTATGTGTAAAACTGACTTACCTATACCAAATATCTCGACGTGTGAATGAAATACTTTCCTCTCTTTGTCATTTCTTGCTTCACACATGAACTTTCCTTCCATACCTGGTTGCATGTCTTTCAAGGTCACCACTGTCTGATCTTTAGATATTTCAATACGGCTACTACTAGACAAAGGCTTTGCATCTTTATACCAATTTATAGTCGCCGGTGGTTTGGCGTCTATCTTGCAAACAAGTTTACCTTCTTTTGCATATTCTATGCGAATATCTACAAAGAAAACATTATTTACATTAACTAAGCACACACTACTGTTTTTAAATGCGAAACTACCCGTAATATTTTCAATTTTATGTCCAACCACTAAGACCTCTGTGGGTTACAAATTTTGCGGAGGTTTTTTTCGTCAAAGGTTTCCCGGTTTTTATTGTGGATTGATTTATTTTCCGAACGTGGCAACACTATCTCAGCAGGGCATTCGCGCGGTTTTTGTTTTTGACAGCAGACGGATATATAATTTTTATACAACAAGTTAATACAAATTATTTTTGGATAAGTGTTAGTTTTAATTAGGGTCATCATCCATCTGAGCGTTTTAAACAATAGCACAATCATGGTTTCTTAACGTAAACGTAAAACAATAATATTTCCAAAATATAGGGTACCTTTAGGAGAATCGATTACATCAAAATAGAATCTCCTTCTTGCTATGATTTCTACGCCTTGAACGTCGTTTCCATTGCGGTTGTTAGCTTTACATTGGTAGGTGGTATTCCTGTTTCCCTTGTCTATTTTTAAAACACTGACGTAATCATAGGGTACTTCGACCATGTTCTTCTGTAAAATGAGATAATACTTGTATTGTAACTTTCGTGAGACATACTAAATAAATTATTATGTTTTCGGCTTACTCACGTAGTAATTTGACGAGGAACTCGACTAGTAGCAGCGCGACAGTCGCCGCGTCGCGGGTCGCGAAATGCTGCTCATGAATATGAGCCTCTAGCATGGCTTGAAACTAGTCGAGTTCCTTGTCAAATTACTACGTGAGTTAGCCGAAAACGTAATAATTTATTGAGATAATAAGTATTGCAATACTAACAACTTGTAACAATATGAAAGCCTTGTTTTTTGAAGTTACTTAAAATGAGTACCAATACATTACAATGTACTTAAATTGATATCCGAATATATATCTACTTTTTAATAAAATAAAAACTGTGATGTCAATAACGATGTCGCACAGTCAACATACAATGTCTGCGCGATGTCGCTGTCATTCGCCCCGTATGCAGCTTACGATTGTGAGGCCTGGCCGTGGCATGAAACTAGTCCAGCACCTCGGAACTGTTTTGTGAGTAAGTCGTGCACATTCTACTTAACTTATTGTCTCGCAATAGTGATTATAAAATGTATAAAGGGTGTAATGTTTTTTTTAATGTTAAATAAGAATATATAACGATATGAGCAATTGTTTATAGCACCTTTAAATTATAGTATTATTAGCTGAGTTTAACACAAAACAAAATATAATTACCTCAGCAGGTATTACAGTCCCTAAGTCTTTATCTTCCCATATTATCTCTGGTTCAGGATAAGCGTGAACTTTACAAATCAGTTCTAATGGATCATCAACATATAGGGTAATCGACGTATCACCATCAATCGTTACTTTAGGTTTAGTGTCAACTTTCACAACTAAAAAAAAAGAAATGCCAAATAGATACCTTTCATTATTTCATACCTTTACATAAGAAACGAAAACTACTAAAATATCTCATCCCGCTCCACCCAGGGCGTAGGTATCTCTTAAGAAATAAAAATTATTCCATTCCAATTCTTATCCTGCGGTCGTAATAAATAGCTATTTTTGCATGCGACCCCCGTAGGTATTAACCTTTTTTTCCTTTTTTTTTTTGAGAGCTGATGCTGGGATCTCGTTCTAGTCGACTTACGGACTGACGATTACGATGGCAGGAGAACGTCGTCTGATGCCCGACGAGTGTCTCTTACGGCGGCTTGGTGACAAGGAGTTACCGTCCCTTCTTACGCTCTGTCCCCATTCTTTCCACTTCCACTTCTTTCTTTCTTTTTTATTTACAGTAACTCTTTTTTCTATGGAATAGGAGGCAAACGAGCAGACGGATCACCTGATGGTAAGCGATCAGCACCGCCCATGGACACCCGCAACACCATAAGAGTCACAGGTGCATTGCCGGCCTTTTAAAAAGGAGTACGCTCTTTTCTTGAAGGTTTGAAGGTCGTATCGGTTCGGAAATACCACCGACGACAGATCATTTCATAGTTTTGCTGTGCGAGGCAGGAAGCTACGTGAGAACCGCACAGTTGTGGCCTGCCAACCATCTATATGATGGGGATGCATATGCTGTCGTGAGGGTTGATGGCGAAAAGATGCGGCAGGTATCAGGTCAAACAATTCCTCAGAGCACTCCCCGTGGTATAAGCGGTAGAAAATGCACAATGAAGCTACATCTCTACGCACTGCCACAGTGTCGAGCCGGTTTGAAACATCCGGACATCCAACAATCCGAAAGGCACGCTGCTGAATGCGGCGTGTCGTTGTCTTGTCCCATATCACGGCCTAAACCAGACTACTAAGGACGAGAGGTCACTGCCGTCAATCACTTCCCTTAGGATACGGTGGCGCTCATCCCTATAATCCATCCTCTTCCGTATAATCCATCTTGTACTCTCTATATTTCCTCCCGTCGATTCAGCCATCTTCGAAAAGCACCTGCGTCAAAGAAGGTTAGGACGTCGCGCCGTTACTAACCATTCCTCAATGATGGGTCACGCGAGTAGCGACATGCCTGGCCTTCTGTTGCGACTATTGCTTGTTTTCATATTTGCACATCTTGAGGGATATGGGGTTCCTTAGTCAAATCGGTCAGGAATAATGGATGCTATCACCTCTTAAAGGATTTAAGTCGACTTACCCTGTAACCCTGTATAATGAAATGTTGTATGCGAACAGAATCTGAGTCAGTTCAAACAATTTTCATTATTTTAGATTCGAAAATAACTATTAAATTAATATGTTTAAGCATTTGCAAATTAAAGAATTTTAAGAAATATGTTCTACCTGCGGACATGTCTTGTCTGGATAAAGGTGTTGGAGTTCTTCTCGTCACTGGCGTTTTAGTATCGATGTCATATCCATTAATCTATAAGAAAATGTCCTGTATAAAATATAAATGACCTTATGGGATTATCGTTTGATCAGTTTTAATAATGGATTGGAACAGAAAGTTTGGTGTGTGTGACTTGACATTATAACACAACTGGCAAAAATTGACAATAGAGTAGATGACTAATTTTTATTTTAATGTCCGTCTGGTAAATTATATGAAAACATTAGACACGAATTTTTTGTTTTCTTACGGAAACGAATAGTTTCGAAGATATATTGATTTGAAATTCGCATGACGTCACTTTTGAGTACGATTTATACTCTAAAATGACGTAGCTACCTTCCACTCTTAAACTTTAATTCGTTTAATCTATATGTTGTTTTCTTATACGAAAAAAAATATGTGTCTAGTAATTTTTAATACCTAACTGTCGGACTAATTATATTTTTAATTTTTATACCCGGTCATCCCTATCGGTATAAATATTGTCAGTACCTACGTACCTAATATGTTGTTCCAGGTCTAGATATTATGTAAATATTTGTATATTGGGCTAAATAGATCATTTCCCCAATATGGCTATAAGATAGCATAGAATAAACCATCCAATGAAATTGTTGTTTTGAGAAAAAGTATACAGGGTAATAAAATTGAAAATCTATTTAGGCCGTTAGTTAGATAATTAAAAAATTAGTTTGTCATGTAAATACTTAGATAAATCGAATTTAAGTAAACTTATTCCTTCAGGAGGAGTTGAATTCTAGCTACGTCACGGTACCTTATAAAATGTAGTAATTCGTGACATCGCACGATATTTGTAATCAATATCAATACATAGTATAAAACAAAGTCGCTTTCGCTGTATGTCCGTATGTATGCTTAGATCTTTAAAACTACGCAACGGATTTTGATGCGGTTTTTTTAATAGATAGAGTGATTCTTAAGGAAGGTTTGTATGTATAATACATGCATATTGCACCCGTGCGAAGCCGGGGCGGGTCACTAGTAATCAATATAATTTAATTTGTACAAAAAGAAAAATGAATCTACCACACGCACATTAATACAAAAATTAGGAGACTACCCTATTATAGTTCTCGCTAACATGCGTATTGTGGCGTCTAGATTTTTGTGGCCGTGTCCTATCTATAGGAGATGACGGAAACAAGCTTTTTTAAAACAAATACTGCGATTTTGTCCTGTGTCGTGGGTGCGTTTATAAAGATACAAGTTCACATACACATGACACCCAGACTCGAAACAACAATCTATCAAACGATGACAATGAGAATAAATTAAAAGATATACTTACAGTTACACGAAACATAGCAGACGGTGGGTTAAATGATGGTGTGACATAGAATTGCGTTTTTTCATCGACTAGTTCTAATTTTAGTTCCTCTATAACTTCATCCGCCATTCCAAGTATTTTGACTGTCTCCAGTTTTACTCCTGTCCCGATTAACTTGACACCCATGAAAACATTCCCTTCTGCAAGAAAGATTATTTAATTTGTCATCCAAGCCTGTGGGATGGCCCTTCATACTTCAAACGTGGTATAATGTTACAGGAATGATACATAAAATCTATACAAACTTGGTGGCGGCCTCGTGACGGTATCTTCGCTGGATTTTGGTTTAAGCACATTAAATCCGAGTTTAAAATTTATTGTGCTTTTTACACTCACAACTGCATGCGTTCCAGACATGCTTCCGACCGACACGACGTGTTCTCCTGGCTTTGCACCGGTCACCTTCACCACCTGTTGACGGACAAAAATTGACTTAAAATTACTTTTTAAGGCGGCGTGCTAAAAGGCTCATCAATGTCTACATGCTGCTAGAGGCCTTGCTTCAAAGCTTCAAACACAGTTGCAACATTGCAAGCCTTTCGGTCCTTTATCAGATACATTTCAGTAAGTGTACGGCCTGTGCGACGAAATTGTTCACCTTGATATCCCCAAGTTTTTTTTCATAATCGTACCACCTGTCAATCGCTTTGTGCTAGATATATCACTTACACAAAGACGGTTCGTGTTAAGTTCGTGTTAAGTTTTTTGAAAAGCTCGCTAAGTAGAGAATTGTGAAAAAGGGCATGATTATGATATCGCTACGATTTTTAATACGTAAATCGGACTACTGGTTGCCTTCAAGGCCCAAGTGAAAAGGACAGACATGCTCCATCGTACGCTTTATATTCACAGATTGCAATAAAAATATATGCAAAAATAAAATAAGATCACTTACCGCCATTTCAGATTTTCCTGATACTATGTGTGTTGTATTGGGCCGGCTTCCACCGGGACCAGTTACATCGCCGATTTTAGGTTCTTTCCCAGTTATAGCTATTAGTGTATCTCCAGTGTGGGGGTCGACGATATACTGGTTAAAAAATTCAGTAATAAAACGAATTAAATTGAAGGGTGAAGGAGATCTGGTTTTATTTATAATTGTTATGAGTTTTAAAATACTTATTCCTTCGCCTTGTGTGAAGTAATTAGTATTAACTTTTCTCAGTAGTGAGAAATATTTAAGCTGATATTGATGATATTAAGTTCCATCGTACCACATGGGCTTGTTACCAACCGACAAAATCACAGTATGTAACGATGTATTGCTATATGCTGTTGATGATGTGATGATGTAACGATATACGATTTGTACGCGTCAACTAAAATCGTATTGGTCCCACGAGTCGCTTGAGCGCGCTTTGGCCGCGCTATATAAAATCTATCGCTATAAAATCGATGCATTTTATAGCATATGCATGCACAACTCACACAAGGCACTCAGATTCATTTTTATGTATAGGAGAATGTTTTCCCATGTTGGGTTTGGTTATTTTAGATTTTTAAATAGTGTGTTAAAATTATTTGAGTAGGGACATGTCATATAACGCTCTATAACTTAAATAATGCAAAATTTGAAAGTCAAAATTATATTTTAAGTGATGATAAAGTACTCACTGTAAGATTTTTATCATAGCCGGGTTCAAATTTTTTGTCTACTATCTTGCTCCCTATGCCTGTGATAGTCTCTTCAATGTATTTTAATATCTGTGGAAATTATAAAATTATGTAAATCAAGCTGACTTGAACGAAGTTACACTACTCACAGATGCCATCGTAAAACATCGCTTACATTCTATACGCTGTGCCAATTGCTGATCAACATGTCCTTTGGCCGTTTTATCCTTTAAAATAGTCAAGTTTTTAACCCAACTATCTAGTATTAGCCTGTTTACATGTATGGCAGATATGGCACTGTAGAGTCTTATTTGAAAAATAATTTATTATATCTTACATCTTTCACGTCATCTTTCATCATATTGAAGACTTGACCAGACGTAGCGTCTGCCAATTGGTGATACACTTCGTAATCAGGTCCAAATCTACCACTATTTCTGCATTCGCCAGTCAAAAGAAATACGATCTAAAAATTAAAAACATTTTAGTATTACTAGTTATTTATATATATTTTTCTACTGTCGTAGCAGTAGTAACGCTATTATTATCTTGTAATGTAAATCTTATATCGCGATCTACGCGCACTGACATAATAAAGTAGATAGTATAATTACATGTATACGAATTTACTTTCAATCAAATATAAGGCAATAAGTACCTGACTCCCCATCTTTTGTGAAAGACTCTTGATCTCTTCAAACCTTGCGTAGTCTTTAGCTGATGCATCAGTGAAAACGTACAAATATGAGTGGGGCATACTAATCCGAAGTGCTAAGCCAATGCCCTCCATGGCACTCTCGGCACAGTCAGGGTTGCGGTACGAATGAGGAGTTATGTTAGCTAAAGCGGTCTTAAATTCTTCCCGCTTCTTGGTGACGGTACGCTTACTAGCGTCTAAAATGAAAGAGAGTAAGTAAATTAAGGACTCTTTAAATACAAAATAGAAAATAATGCAGAAAACATTTTGACGTGACAACGTCTTAAATTAGGTTGCGGCTGGGAGTCACTTATGAAAAAGTGTAACGCTCGGTAACGTTACGATGAGTCACCGAACGAGAGAGAGGCCCGCCGATTGCCTTGCGTCTCTCTCCCACTTAACTATGATCGGTCTGCCGCGCGCGCAGCACTAGTTCATTCAATTCCTTGTTCCTATTGTGCAATTTAATTATATTCATATCAATAAATATTCTACCGAGAAAAAGACGTGGTCACGTAAAATCTTCGCCCGTAAAAACGACTTTACAGGCAACCATTTTTTATTATAAAAAATCTTTCTTTAGCTCTCATCACAGGATTTTCCCAATTCGACAGTGAGGCTTATTCTAATTAAAAAAATATATATATTTTAATTACTAAAAATAAATTATACAACGAAAACAAAACCAAATTAAAAACATAAAAATAATACAGAAAGTCTTGCAATATATACACCTTAAATTAACTACCTTACATAATAGCTAAAACTAACCTAAAATTATATAAACTAAACTAAATTAAATTACACTTCTGGATACATCTACCTCTATTAGCCTACCTTGTACTTTCAGTTTCGTTTGGTCCTAGCTAAAATTTTATATTAGGTCGATCAAAAAGTTTTTATGCAGTTTTGAACCTGGCACATTCACAATTTCATTCAATAGTCTTTTTTGAATTTTGAACGCAGAATTTAAAGAAACAAAAGACAATTTGGAGCCTGTTTGTTGATGTCAAACAATCGAATACTAAGAAAACTCAGTTTTATTGGTTTAATTGGATTTAATTCTTGAAAAAGTGATTGATATTTTTGGTTTAGCAACAAATTTAACTTATTCTTAACATTAAGGTGAGGTTCTATATAATCTATGGATACTTCACCTGAAGTCGCCGTCCAAGCTGTGGCACTTATTCAGGCCGGACACAGCCAAAGAACCGTTCGTCGCCAAGGAAGGCTACTATCTCGGGTTACAACTGAAAGGCAGGATCGATTCATCGTGACGACCAGCTTGAGAAATCGTCACCTTACCTCCATTAAGATACAAAGCCAACTTCGCGACTTCCACGGAGTATCTGTGAGCGTTCGAACTGTTTGGAAAAGGTTAAAAGAACACGATATGGTACCACACAAGCCAGCTAATGGGCCCAAACTAACGCGAGCTCACCGAACATCGCGCCTTCATTTCGCACGCAGTCATTTAAATTGGACACAGCAAGATTGTAGTGTACTCGTGTACGTCGTGTACTCTTTTCTGATGAGTACACGACATACACGTGTACTCGTGTACTCTTTTCTGATGAGTCTAAAATTGTGTTACATGGCAATGACGGAAGGAAGAAGGTCTACCGACGTAAGGGAGAGCGTTTCGCACAATGCTGCTTTGATGAGAAGGTTGCTTATGGCGGTGGCTCACTGACTGGGGCGGTATATCCGCGAGCGGCAAAACTCAACTTGAGGTTGTTACAGGACCACGGCTGCCAACATTAAACGCTGAAAGGTACATTCGTGAGTGCTTAGAACCTCACGTGATACCATATGCGGACTATGTGGGCCCAAATTTCATTTTTATGCCTGATAATGCTAGAGTCAGGAAATACCTTCGGGATGTAAACATCACAGTTATGGACTGGTCAGCCAGAAGCCCGGACATGAACCCCATTGAGCACATGTGGGATGAATTAAAAAGACGTGTTAGGGCTCGTCATCCAGTTGCCCAGTCGATGCAGGAGTTGAAAACTGCCATAGAAGAGGAATGGGAGATGATCCATCAAAATTTCATAGAGCGGTTGATAAACTCTATGCCTAATCGTATGAGAGCTGTGGTAGATGCCCATGGAGGCAACACGCGTTATTCAAATTAAACCTTTATTTGATAAAACATGTTTTTTATTTGTATTGTAACTTTCGTGAGACATACTAAATAAATTATTATGTTTTCAGCATGGCTTGAAACTAGTCAAGTTCCTCGTCAAATTATTACGTGAGTAAGCCGAAAACACAATGTTTTTTTACTGAAAAATCAAGTGCCTTTGACAAGGTGCATATCGATTTGTTAAGCGTAGCTTCATGTCGTATGGTATTCTGAATTCAAATTTAAAACCATACGGTCGAAAAAGATGGTAAAATGTGTCAGGTTTAAAACTACCTCCAGTTTTTGTTCAATCTAGCAATCATATTTCGGTAGGAGCCATCGAAACCTGAACTCTAAGGTGGGCCAATAGATGTGTCCAGAAGTGTACAATCGTATGAACTATTCACTATCATAACTTAAAATAAATAAAAGTTCTTTTGTGAATTCACTCGATGGAGTTGTAAATATTATATCAATACGATCGTGGAGCTTATTAATGGTATGGATTGCGCGAGTCAGTGGTGCTTTAACGAGAAGATTGGTCCTCGCCGCTGGCACTGCACTGCACTGGCGGACGTCGCCATCTCCACACGTAGCGGTCCGGTACAGAAAGACTCAGGTGACGCAATACTCCCGGGTTATGTTCCAGACCACGGAGTAACTTCACCAAATAAGCAACTAAGGCAAATTTCCGTCGTACACCCAGTTGATTGCACCTCACCATGACAAGCACAAACAGAGTAAGATACATCTGCGGGTAGAACGGATACACCCCATACATTTTCCAGTACAAATATCTGGTGAACTTATTCTGTACACGTTCCAACATTGTACGTTGAAACGTGGACCCGCATGACAGCACTATGTTCCAGATGACTTCTGACTAATGCGTCATACAAGATGATATTGGTGAAGCTCCTCGTCTGTCTCAGTACAAAGCCAAGGTTTCTAAATGCCATTTTGAAGATCTCCGTAATATGATCGCGAAATGACATTTCCCTAGTCACCATAACCCCTAAATCCCGCATATCCGTGACACGTTGCATAGGCACCGCATCTAGTACGTATTCAAGCATCAGGGGCACACGATCACGCGTTATACTCATCACACAAATAGCAAAGAACGCACACTTTGCTACGTTGAAGTATAGCCTGTTCTCCTCACTCCATTCCAGTAGTCGGTCTATATCATGTAATCGCTCACAGTCGGATTTATCTTGTACCTCCATCAGCAACTTGAGGTCATCCGCGAACAGTAAACAGCAGCCATGTCTAATGGCGTCCGGCAAGTAATTTATCATTATTATATATTCAAGGGGACCCAAATTACTACCTTGACTCACTCCTGATCGAGTATAATACGGATCAGAAGTACACCCCTTATAGTCTACGTACTGTTGTCTATCAGGCAAATAGCTCGAGAAAAATTGCAACAATTGCAAATTGTGGTGTGCAGTCAACTTTTGCGAGCTTCTGCAGTAAAATATCTTTGTCAACAGTATATTTAATTTAGTATAAATAATAAATGTATACTAATAATATAACGCGCTTATCTCCGGAACTATAGGTTTGTATTGAATGATAATTCTTTTTGTGTTAATTTTAAAATATTACGGTACGTTCAACACTAACCGAGAAACAGATGACACTGCGCGGGAGGAGCTAGTGATAGCGAGAGGTTCATTACAGCAACAATTTTAAATTGATTTATTAATATCCATGCTAGAATGTATTGAAGGGAAATTGATGTCACAGAAAATTATGAAAACAAGTCGGAAAAATACTTTAATAAATTATTAGTTTCATATAGAACAAAAGCACGAAATGGTTATGTATTTTCAAATGCCAACTATTATATTTAATACTGAACAATTCGGGTAAGTCATCAGATAGGTACAGTCTCACTGCTGGCTTAGATACTACTACTCAATCATGAAACCAGCTGAGATGGGCTAGTTACGGGTTTATCAATATCTCGCATGTTCACGTGTATGCAAACACAAGTTTATTTGAAAATAAATATATCTTGTTCCATTATCTCAATAAAGCTATTACTTGAAACTCGAAAAGTGTGTACTAGCATTAAAATTTAAGTGCGGGAGTACTATGCTATGTACGAATGAGCCGGCTCGACCGTAGTGATACCACGGACTTACAGAAAACCGACGTCAAACAACTCTTGCGTTGTGTTTTGTCATGTGAGTGAGGTTACCAGAGGCCCAATTGCCTCCCCAGTCAAATTCAAAGCATTTATTACAACTAATCCTTAATTAGGCTCTTTTAAATTGCCCGTCCGTCTGTCTGTCAGTGAAGCTAGGTGCATGTTTCCCAAATCCCCGTATCCCAACTATCCTCAAACTCCTAATCCCCAAAAGGCCGGTAATGCACTTGTAACACTTTTGTGTTTTAGGCTTCAATGAGCGGCGATTGCTTACCACCAGGTGATCCGACTGCTCAAACAATTGGCTTGTTCATAAAAAAGAGACATAAGGACGTGGTTGTGTACCTTTGCCGCTTCTAGAGATAAATGGTGTGAGAGTAGCACTAGTAAAATATTAATGACTTACCCGGATCATTGAAAGTGACGAGCACAAAATTTTCTATCTGTGATGCGTTTGAACTCGTCACTTTATCAAACATAATGTTAACTTCTTCTTTCACTTGATTTACTTCATCCCACATAGATGCCGTATCATCTATTACGAACGTTAAACTACTTTTAATAACTCCATCGTCTGCAAAAACAGCACAAAATGCGAAGAACACAACTAAGAGTCCCGAATGTGTTCTCTTAGAAACCATCGTGTGTACTAATGATTATGGTAGCGAGTAGGTGTTTAAAAATCCAGTGTATTGTGACACCGACAATGACCTAATGATATGGAGTTCAGCAGCTTCGTTTTAATCTACATAATAATATTATTATATTATTGTAAAAACCCGTACATTGGTTATCTTAGGTGTTCGCAGTAAAGAAGTTGAAGAACACACTGAGTTTCCACTGCCTGTAGGTAGCATACTAAGTAGTTATATGTATGTATTATCCTTTATATATATTATTCTTGTAGACATCGTTAGAATATAATATGTATTATTATAGCTTTATATATATAATTCTGCTATACGTGTGTATGTCATTGATTTCCTACTAAACGGCTTGACCAATTTAAATGATTTTTTCTGTATGCGTTTGAGTGGCGCCCTGGATGGTTTAGATTCACAAATCAGCACGGAAGCGCTAGTATATGTATATATAATTATCTACATGTAATAAATACACATATTACAGATCTGCAATATACATGTGTCTTAATTTAATTTAATACATTCAAACTCATTGTTGCCTCTTGCACGCACCGTATAGGCGTATATCTACTCCTCCACACCTCACCCTAAGGTCAGATTGGAAGATAATGGCCACGGCATTAAGTCCACCTTATGTATGATTGTGCATGAAGAGTTTAACATAAAATAAATAAATAAAATTTTCATATTTTGGTTTAAAAAACCCAGATTATAAAATACATTTAATTACCTAAACAAAGTCTAAATGTGTATAAAATAAAGTCAATACAAAATAAATCATATTAATCATATGTCAGTTGATAAAACAATATTTATTTTTAGAATAAGACAGTGAGTGTTTCAAAGAATTATTTTTAATTAAATATATGTCGCACCTGGCGTTCGGAATTATGTTGGGTGACACACTTGGTTTAGTTTTCACCAAGTTATACCTAAAGGTGAGGGGTTCGTTTAGGTCACGCTAAGTAATAACGTAGTAGTAGCGTAGAGGGAGCATCTAAACGAAGTTTTTATCTTAAGAGTGGTTGATGGAAACAGATATTATTTACTACTTGGTTGAATGGTCTTTCTAACCTACCATTTCGGGTTGCCTTATAGGTACTCAGTCATCATTTCCATAGTCGGCCACATCATCGCTTACCACCAGACGAGATACGTAGTTAACAAACATCAACCTATCAAGTATATAAAAGTTTTTCACTATTTAATGCATCTTATGACTTAGTTTGGAAAGCAGTATCAGTATCGTTCGTAATTCACACTCGTCTATGTAATTGCGTAATATTTCTTTGAATGCAATATTGTGAAATATTTATGACAATAAATCATTTTATTTTAAGAGTTACCAAGTGAATTGCGATAAAAGGCCCGAATGATATAATCACAGAGCTATGTGGACTTTTATTTAGAGCTTGTATATCTTAGGAAATGTGTCGGGGTGCCACGACGTGGTGTCAGTAGGAACTTAGTTGCCAGGCGCTGTCCAGTAAACTGCCTATATATATTTGGTTGTTTAGGTAGGTATTGGTCTCTGGTGTCTCCCCTCACACTACGGTGCACTATTTACTGGACACCCTGTACCTGTATAGGTGCTGATTGAAAGGCAGATTTAACTAGTTGATGCTGACATAATAAACAAGATACCCTCCTACAGATTGATATAAATAAATGAACACGAGAACAGGTAGTTTAATTGCGGTAGGAAACATAAAATTTATTATCTGATAACAATAAAATACAAAATTCAGAAGGAGTTCATAAACACAATGTACCAAATAAAAAAAAATCCAAACAAATACGAATATTCACAGCATAAATTAAAAAAAAACAGAAGAAAGTTCTTTCCTTTGGAAGATATATATATATATATATATA